GAGCTCGGTATTGTAAGGACACAAGCAGAGAGGACAGGAACCCTCAACTTCCCATTCAATTCGTCTCGGCCTCCCTACCCATAACCCAAATGACTAATCTCTCTTCCACTGAAAAGGAGAAACTTAGCAAACCCCCCCCCCCCGCCTTGCATGGATTCATAACTAGTTAAGATGTCTATTATGTAATCCTCCAAACCAACCCACTTATATCCTCTCATTTAAGCTGTCCAACCACACGGCAAGATTACCTTGCTGGGTTTGTCAATGAGGCAATGCCCTGGGGACAGAAAACACCATGTTCGGGGCCGTGGATTTGACAAGTGATAGGGAACTGCCCCAAACTCCCAGGCTTCCTTCCTTGTGACTTCCCTGGTGAAAAAGTCTCACCCACAAGTCCCAGCTCTACTACTTACCTCTTCAGCAGCCTCAGTCTCTTCAACCGTAAAATAGGAAAGTGATCACAAGACGCCTCCACATCCAGGAGCTGGACCATGATTAGGGAAGAGACAACACCTATGGGAATGCCAAGCTGGGCCCTGCAGAGAGTAGAAGCTCAGGAATTGTTAGTTTCCTCCCCTTTGTGGGGCCACTGAGAAGGTTGCCACCGCCATCCGCAGGCGGTCTAAGCTACAATGCACCATGCAAATGTTAGCAATGAAGGTTAATTGCACGGGGCTCATTTTTATCTCAGGATTCCCCCTGCCCGCCCCCCCCTCGCTCCTGGAGATCCAGGTTTGAAATGTGCACCTCTACCTCTTACAAACCAAGCGACTGAGTGCAATTCTAGACTCTTAGCAACCCAGCCGATCCAGCCCTGCCGTCCGCCATGGGGCTGTCAGCCCTTAAAGGGAGAGCAGAGCGATGCCTGGGAGAATGGCAGGTCTGAAGAAGCAGTGAGCTGGGCCTGACAGTCTGGACTTAAATAAATTGTATTTCCTGGCTGGGGACAATAAGACAGACAGTTGAAGCTTGTGTTACACTAACACATCATTATGGCCCCGAAATGGGGAAGGAGAGCTGCATCTTGTTCCAAGTTTGTAGCAAACCTGTGCCGTGTGTAAATAGCCCTCAGGCCTTTGATGTTGAGCAGAGAGGAAAATAATCCTCTCGGAAACACCAGGCAGGAGCCTCGGGCTCCAAAGCACAGTCAGGGAGGCTTATTTCCTCTAATACCTTCATGCAGAAGCCAGCAAAAAAAGCTTAGGTAGAATGAAGTGGGAAGCTGAGAAGGGCCTCAGCAGACAAAGGACGGGGAGGGAGGGTGGGACAAGTGTCAGGCCCAGCTCCTGCCAGAACCAGCAAGGTTGGCCAGCACCGAAGGGCGCCTCCCAGAGGCGGGCAAGGGGATATAGGTTGGCAGCACCTTGGGAGTCCCTTCCTTCATTCAACAAGACAGGCACAGTCCCTACCCTCTCGGGGCTTACAGTCTAGCGAAGACATGTCCAACAAATAACCACATGGATAACCAGCTAGTTACATGCTTAGATATGCACTATAAAGGGAAAAAATGGGAGGTGTGAGGTTGTAAGACAGGACATCCCAATTGAAACAGAGGCTGGGAGCAGGGGCTGGGGGAGAGATTGATACCATGGGCCCCTGCAGGAGCCACCACCTGGGCCCAGGATGAATAGCAGGCCTGGTGATGGGGCAGCCAAGGATGGGGAGTGAGTCTCATCACTGCCACCACAAAGATTTGTCTGCTCCCTCCCCTACAGGGGAGACTTGGATGCATGAGCCTTCGGTGGTGCCGGCCCAGTGTCAATGACCAGCTGAAGGGAGCAAGTCCCAAGAGCTTCCATCTCCTGTTGTAAGTGGGGAAGCTGAGAGGCTGCTATAAAGGAAGTTCAGACTAAACAGGTCCTCACTGCGCAGCCTCAGGCAAGTTGTCTCCTCCCTCCCAGGTCTTTGTTTCCTGCCCCGTGAAGTAAGGCGGGTTGGTGAGATGGTCTACAAGACCCTTCGGAGTTTCCACACCTTGTCATCCCCTTCCGAAGCTCTCGGAGGGTTGATGCCTGCTCTCTACCCCACCCACCCAGCATGTCTGGGATCACAGACACTGGGCTGGGACCACCGTTGACCCGGGAGGTAGAGGTCACAGTCTAACCCCAGCCCACTATTCTGGAGTTCAAATGTGTGTGTGTGTGTGTGTGTGTGTTTGGGGGGGGGGGTTGGGGAGTTGGAATTTGCAGTAATCTGGTGCAAAGCTGAAATGTCCTTTTACTTACGAATCTCCTCATATACATAGGCAATTCATATTATAATCAATTTTGGAGGCAGCAAGCCTATTTAGTGGATCTACAAAGAAAAATTCTATTAGAACACCCAGAAGTCACTCCAGATGTGTTCAATCCCTTGCCAAGGATGTGCTAACTATAAGATTCTCTCATCTGTTCATTACGGTGGTCCCAGAGAACGTCTCTCTGGGGAACAAATTCGCTAGCCAAGTCCAGTTGCTATATACAATGGTGATGATAAAGCTCAGGGTTTTTTTGAAAAATGCTGTTCCAACTGTCCTCCGCCACCATGAAGCTGAGGGAGGAGGGCTTGGCTGTCCCGAAACAGTGAGGCTGGTCAGGGACTGACATTTTATACAGTGAAGAAAACGTGGACTCTGATGTTTTGCTGGTGCTTCGCACGGGTCCTGTAGGCAGGTAGTAGGCCTTGTACTTCTTTGCAATCCCCATAATCCTTGCACAAAGGAGGAGCACATGCCTATGACTATTGATGGGCTGATGGAAAAAGCAAGACACAGAGAAACAGTATAGGGCTCAGAAAGGTCCCAATGACAAAGACGCAGGAGAGCACAACCAGAAAGAGCGTAGGTATTAGACATTCATGGATTTCGTATCTCAACATCTCTACTTAGTAGCTGTGTGACCTTAGGCAAGTCACTTAGCATCTCTGGGCCTTGGTTTCCTCCTCTGCACCATAGGAGCAGCCAAACCCAGAGCAGTCATGGTTGCAAGAGTTAAAGGACGTAACATAGATGAGTGTCTAGCAGAGCGTCGGGCACATTGTAGAAGCTTCTCTTCCTTCCTTCCATCTGGCCCTCAAGGTCTGCATGAGAAAGGCAGCCTCCAGCACTTGCCCCTGCTATTTATCTGCCCCCACACTGAAGGATGGGAGGTGAAAGAGCCCCCCTGTGGCCTCCATGCTGCAGGCAGGGACAGCTCAGTGGAGCATGGCCAAGGAGGGGTCTGGTCCCAAACCTCAGTGGCTGCAGGAACCCAGTACAGTTGGCCTGGCTCTCTTCCGGCCAATTTTGCCAGATATAATTTGGCTTCGGCTCGAGCTTCCAAAGCTGTTATGTAAGCATAATAACCCATAGCATTTGTAGAAAGCTTTTATAGTTTTCAAAGCACGTGTGCACATATTGCCTCAGCTGATCTTCTCAGTAACCTTGAGAAGTAGCTAAGGAAAGGGTGAGAACTCCCATTTTATAGATGGAGAAGTTGAGGCTTGGAGGGCTTATTTGGTTCATGATTAAGGAGTGGCAACATCAAACTTGGACAAAGATCTCTGCATTCCTTGCCCTGGGCTCTTCCCACACCATCACACCATCACACCATCACACCACATCGTTGTAATCATGTAATCATCAAGCAAAAGTGGCCCCAATACCTACTGGGTGCCAGGCAATGTAGTAAGCCCTTGGAATCAGAAGTGAACAGCAAAGTCAAGTTCAGGAGAGAGGTAGGACCAACTCTTTGGGGGCCATGTGATAGCTGCCGTGGTGAAGGAGCAAGGGGAACAGGAAGAGGGGGACATAGCCCAACTTGGTCCAGGGACTCAGGAGCCCCTGGAGGAGACACACCAGTCCAGTCTTGAACAACAGCTAGAGGCTGTCCAGGCAGAAAGAGAAGTGAGAGAAATTACAGGTAACAGAAGCAGCAAATAGAAAGCCAGAAGTATGTGAACCAGCAGGTTGTCTGATCTGACTCCATCCACCCACTCATCACTCACTCATTCATTCATTCATTCAACATATATTTCTGGAGCACCCCCATGTGCCCCCATACTGGTATATGTACCTCAGCAAACAAGCGGATGTAGTCCTTGAATGCATGGAGCTTCCCTTCTAGGGCATTCCCATGGACAGATGGGGAGTGCTAAGATGGAGTGGGCAGAGGGCATCATAGAAGGCTGGGTATGGAGGGCCTAGATATAGCCTATGGGTGCTGGGGATCCCTGACGGATTTTAAGCACAGGATTGGCAAGGTGAGGTTTGCATTTCAGAAAGAGGGAGCCACAGCAAAGTTAGAGGATTTAGAGGATGGGCTGGAGAAGGTGGTCTGGAATGCAGGAGGAGCCCAGCTAAGAAATTGTAGCAGCCCAGACAAGAAATGACTGGGTCCTGAGTTATGGCAGTGCAGTAGAGAAAAGGCAAAATGCATGCAGGATGTAGAGACAGACTTGACAGGCCTTGCTGGCTAATTGGACATGGGAGTGAGGAAGAGGAAGAGTGGACAGCCACTCTGAGGGTCTGGCTCGAACCTCTTGGCAGGTGGTGATGCTATTCCCTGGAACAGGAGTGCAGGAGAACCATCCAGTGGGGCGGGAAGCTGAGGAAGTTTGTTCCCACTGGGAGTCGCTGCGTGTCAGGGGACTCTGGGTCCCCCTGAAGTCACACTTATCAGGCATTGGGATCAGTGAGTCTGGAGCCCAGGAGAGAGCTTGGGGCTGGAGGTGCAGATTGGCTTACAGATGATGTTCAACATTTGGAAGTGGACAGGACCACCCGGGCTGGGGCGGTGCCCGGAGGGAAAAGACACCAGATCCTATTGCAACAAACCCCAAAGTGTGTCCAGATTTTTCTTTGATGTCAGAATCCCGCTTGGCAAAAGTCAGGCCATTAGCCACAGTGAGGAATCATCGGTCCTCAAGAGGGCTTGACTGGGACAGGCCGTGGGGACTCTGGCCTGATGTCACGCTTCTCGGGTCTCACCAGTCTCTAGTCTGAAGTCACTCATGGGCTTCTCTCCCTCTCCTCTCTCCTTCAGGTGTTTACAAAATATGGAAAATGTTATATGTTTAACTCAGGCGAGGATGGCAAACCTCTGCTCACCACAGTCAAGGGCGGGACAGGCAACGGCCTGGAGATCATGCTGGACATTCAGCAAGATGAGTACCTGCCCATCTGGGGAGAGACAGGTGAGCTGGGCCCAGGGACTGGGGCTGTGGGTGATGGCGGAGGGGTACAGGACTCCGGAAGACTGGTTTGCTTCAGGCGGGCTGTCTTGACCAAGACTATGAAGGACGGCTCTCTATCAGTGGGACGGCAACATGCCAGTGAAGAGTAAGGATGTCCCTCCATGGACTGTGACGCTCTGGGCTTCCTCAGATTTCAGGAGATGGGAGAGGGGCAGATGACAGGAGTATTGGAAAGGGAAGGCAGGTAGGCTGAGGGGGGTGTTGGGAAGGAGGCATGGAGGAAGGTATGATTGGGCAGGCAAGTGGCTTGATTTCAGGAGAAAAGGAAGACGGGGACCAGCCCCTTCCTCTTGCAGACATCTTGACTATCCCAACCCAGTCAGGAGGCCCGGCAGAAAGGAACGCTCTCCTCCCCCTGGAGGAAGGTGGAGGAACTTGCTAGGCTGGAAAGCCAAAGGACATGGACTCAGGGGCCTGGCGCCGGGCCTGCCTGAGCCCCTGGGGGGCCTGTGTGTACAGGCCGCTGAGTTCGTTCATGCACACATTTATTCGTGTATTTATTCAGCAAACTATTCATTAGCCATGTGTATACCGCGTCAGGCTTTGCACCCCAGTAAGGACATCAAGATGAAAAAGACCAGGTCCTTGATCACAGACTAGAGGAGGAGACACACAATCACAGTCCAGTGTGACATGAGTGTACCCACCTGAGGACGAGCGTGGCCTCCGCCTGGTGGGGAGGGGGAAAAGCGTTCAGAGAAAGCATCACAGGGCCCCAGGCATTTGAACAGAGTCTTGGGATTATCCTGGTTTATGCAGGTGGGTCCTCACAAGTGGGGTGCAGAAAGATCAGACAGAGGAGAAAGTGAGGGAAACAGAGATTGGAGTGATACAGCCAGTAAGCCTAGGGATGCTGGCAGCTTCTAGAATTCCCCCAGGTGGAGAAAGCACAGAGGTGCCCAAGAGTGGGACATGGATGCCAAGTAGACCCAAAGCGAGAGTAGTATTGTGTTCAGGGTATAACAGGGGGGAGCAGGGCAGGGTGTCAAGGATAGGCCTGGGGAGGGGCTCCATGGGAGGGGGAAAGGGAGAGAAGGTTCCAGCAAGAAGGAGGCCCTCGGCCCTCAGATTGGAGCTGAGGTGGGTAGAGGCCAAGCAGCCCAGCCCCCACCTCTTACAACCCCCACCCCATGATTCCTGGAGCCGGCCCCCCCAATCCTAAAATCTGGCCCTGACCACGCCCAGATGTTCCAGGCTTCTGAAGGCAGCCAATGCTTCTACCCTGGGGATGACTGACTGCAAACACTGAGCTCCCCCCCCACCACCTTCTCCTACCTGTGTCTCTCACTCAAGCTCCCTGTGGGGAGGGGTGAGCATGCCCACTTCCCTCACTGTGTGGTTGCTCCTCCTGCTCCTACAACGGAGAAGTAAAATGGCCACCACACGTGTCACACCAGCAACGCCTTCCAGCGGTTCACTTCAGGCTCCAGGCCATCGGCTGCTTGCCAAGGAGACGCTTAGTTGGCTCCATCCACTTTTCTAAATTCAGTGCCCGTGCCCTCCGGCAAACAGAGGAAGGTCTGGGTTTATGCTGCACTCTGGCATCCCTGAGAGCTGACCAGCAGAGCTTGGCTTTCCAGAACATCCCTGAGACCAGCCTGTGTCCTGGGACCATGGGCATCTGTAGACAACCCTGAGTCCTAGGAGCTGGGTCTTGGTCTCCCAAAAAAGGCTCTGCCTTGCAGACACCAGAACATATTTGCTTATTGAACCACCTGTGGGAAAGAGGAGAAACCGGCAATAAAAATGGGTCCCAAAGACCTCATACCCACAGCCTGACTACAGGTTAGTTATGTCTTTGCACAGTGATATTGGATTTCCTTCCCTGTTACCTCGATTTGGGAGTGAAAGCAAATGTATATATACACACATGAACACACACACACACTCACAAAATGCCAGGCACCCCATCACACCCATCTTCACACAGCACAGCTCCCTGTGGGGTCTGGCCTTGGGTCTGAGCATGGGCCACTGATAGAATGGGCTCCGACCTCAGGGCCTACCCCCTGGGAATCTGCATTCTGCCTCCTGATGCTCTGGATGGATAGAGCAGGAAAGCTCTGAGACCATCTCTCCCAGCCAATCCCCTTGCTCCTTGGTGGAGGGAGAAGTGAGGTCTGGCATGGCAACCTTCTAGACATCATGCTGGAAAGTCATGACCAAGCCAGGGTTGTACTGACCCAAGCTTCCTGACCACCAGTTAGCCCCAGCAGACCATAATCATGCTCGAGGACCTGCTGTTGGCCTAACACTGTGCAGGGCACAGGGAGGGAGAGGACACCAGACAGAGACCCTGCCTTTCAGGAGCTTATCATCTCAGCAGGCAGCCAAAGTGGTGCAAAGAATCCACAAGAGGACAGCCTCACTCCTGCCGGTAGCTTGAGCTATCCCTTATGATCCACCAGCCCTCCTCACTTAAACTGTGGCCTTTGGGGTTGGGTGGTTGGGGAAGGAAGCTGCATGGAGAAGCAGCGGGTGAGAGCAAGGGCAGGGGCCAGAAGAAACTGGTTGGAGGAGAGACTGGTCAGTGCTGCCCAAGAGGACTTTCTGCAGAAATGGAGAAAATGCGCTCTAGCTGCACTGTCCAATACAGTCGCCTCAACGGAGCATTTGAAATGTGGCGCGTGGGAATGAGGAACTGAGTTTTTAATATCACGTCCTTTTGATTAATTTAAATTGCCACGGTAGGGGAGCTGGTGTCTACCACATTAGAGAGCACAGTTTCCGATTGCTCTGGTCGGTTTCTTGGATGTTTGCCTCTGCAGCCAGCTCCCACGTTCTGCTGGGACCATAATATTCTCCAGTCCTGGCCTTCCCCTCACCAAGGCCGTGAGTGGTAGAAAGGGCTCTTTATCACCACTTACTCAGGAGGCTGAGGTTAGGTGACTTCACCCAGGCCACCCCGCCTGATAGCCTGAATCCTTACACCCAGGCTTCCTCGACTGTACCTTTTTTTCCAGGCTGAGAAGTCACTGAGCAATGAGCACCCCTTGGACACTGCAGTCACCTCAAAACCTCTTGTTTCCTGGGCTGGTGAGGAGTGAGCTCTATGTGGGTAGGAGTGAGATATACACACTGCTGAAGGATGAGGGGTGGACTCTGACAGGTGAGGGTTGCTTGTCCCTGAGGCCACCTGAGGAAACATGGCCACATCTTACTGCTTGGTCTTTTCTCCAAAGGACTGTGGGCACCATCAGGCCTAGTCCTGCCATGGTCCTCAAGAGGGAGGCTGCCTTCTGGATCTTCAAGCCCTGTGGCCCCACAGATGCCATCCTGCTTCCTTGGCATTCCCATCTCCTCTCAATTCCCAAGTGTTCGTTGGAGATACCTGGGTGATGATGGAGAAGAGAGGAATTGAAATATGGTGGTTGAGGGAGTAGCCACAGACAGCTTGATGGCAGGCAGTGTAATAGGGACAGGAAAGTTCCATTATAGAGTCAGACCCAAGATGAAATCCCCAGCTCTTCCTTTACTAGCTATGTGACTGAGGACACGTGAATGGGCCTCCATGTCCTCGCGTGTAATAGAGGTCAACTACACAAATAAACCCATCAGTTTTCAGGATGGCTGAAGGAAGCACACGAGAGCTCTCTGCAAACTGTAGACAGTGGAAGGGTGATAATGACAACCATGGGGGGATTGTCAAACTGTTCCAGAGCCAGAGCTTATGCTAAACATTCCAACCCTGTAAAAGAGGTCTTGGAGGAACTCAACATCCGGAAATCTCATTCTGCTCAAAGCAGAGCCTCTGATACACTCTGGCCTTGCCTCATGGACAGCTTCATTGCTCAGGAATTTAAAGGATCAGTGAGGGAACCCCTCCTCTGGGTGTAATGCTGGTGGACAGGAAGGAACTCTGATGCCTGGATGAATTTGAAAAAGGTACCCCCTTTGAGTGGACCCCCAGCTTAGCGAAGAGAGATGACTATGAAAATTATCAAGTGTCCTTTCCTCCAGGCTGACAATGCCCCACACCAGGGTGCCCTCTTGGCCAAACATCCTTATGCAGGGCACCCCGGAACTATGCCATTTTAAAGAAAGCAGGCTCCGTCCCATATGGACCTTGACAGTATGGACCCTATGGAATGAGGATTGGGGATATTACATGTTACAGGAATAGCAAGGATCTGGGAACCCTGCTTAGGCAAAGTGAAACACATTTATTTATTGCAGGGATTCTTGAATACGCTACATCATGAATATCTGAGTAGGAATATTGCATGCAGCATTTATTTCCCAAATGCCTTTGACCATGGAAACCTTTCTCACGGAGGAGCTCACAAAATAGAATGAGGACAGAAAAACTGTCCTAGACCGTAGAAGTGCAGATTTCATGGCCAGCTTTTTCTAAAGGAAATTAAATTGAAGGCAGGTGGGAGGTTGTTAAAAATGAAACTCTGTGTAGATGCCTCTGAGTAACTTCAAAAGATAAAAGAAATAGGCAGTGGGTTATCTAGGTTGCACATGAGAGAAACCAAATTCAAACAAGCTTAGGCACAAAAGGAATTGTATTGCCCCCAGAATCCAAGGTAAGCTTCAACAACCAAACAGTGGGCGAGCGAGGATGCAGCGTCGGAAACAACTGGAACCAAGGGCTTGGGCCCCCTCCAGTCTCTGCTGCTCTCACCTCTCCTCTTTCTGAGTCGCTTTATTCTCTCTCACTACAGACAGGTCTTTTCCACACATATATATTTTTTCACACATGGCTGCAGATATTCTTCGATTTTACACATCCTATCAGCAGCAAGAGACTGTTCTGAGTCTCTCCTGGGTCTCCTATTAAAAAAAAAAAAAAAAACAGGGAAGGAAATCATTGGCCCGTTGGTCAGTTGGGTGCCCACGCCTGGACCAATCAGCAGTGACCAGGGGAGTGAGGTCACTGAAGGACCCAAGAGCCCTGAGGAAGCTGGGTGGATTGCAGCTGGGGAAGGAGTTCC